AGGTAACTACCTTGTATCCATAGCTCTACAATATAATGTGCCATAACAGTGACTTCAAAGTTTATATCCCAGGTCAAATGCAGTGGCTTATGCTTGTCAGGGAGGATCACCTGAGCACAAGAGTTGAAAGTTACCATGATCTATGATCACATCAGTGCATTCCAGCCTGGGTGACAGAGTGAGACCTGTCTCTTAAAAAAACAAAACCAACAGGGCCAGGTGTGGTGGTTCACACCTGTAATCCTAGCACTCTAGGAGGTCCAAGCGGGTAGATTGCTTGAGCTCATGAGTTCGAGACCAGCCTGAGCAAAAGTGAGATCCTGTCTCTACTAAAAAGAGAAAAACTGAGGCAAGAGAATCACTTAAACATGAGTTGGAGTTGCTGTGAGTTATGATGCCACAGCATTCTACCCAGGCAAACAGCTTGAGACTATCTTGGGGTGGGGGGGGGACAAGCCCAACTTTACCCTAGTTGCATCTTTTATTTATTAGAATTGGCTTTTGTGGTCTATAAAAACTATAACTAGAGGTCAATCTTTGTATCTTCCTACAGAATATACCAAGATGTCTGATAATTTAGAGAGGTGTTTCCATCGGGCAATGATGAAACATTTTCCTGGTGAAGATGGAGACACAGATGAAGAATTTTGGATCCGTGAAGATGAAAAGCGGGAGAGGAGACGGGGTCGGGCTGGACGAAGTGGTGGCAGCCATGTTTGGACCCGCTCCAAGGACCCTGAAGGGCCCAGCAAGAAACAGCAGCCTGTGGAAAATGGAGGAAAGTCGCTGCCACCTGCACGCCGAGCCTCTTCCTCTGGGGATGACCAGAGCAGCAATTCTACACAGCCCCCTCGAGAGGTGGGCGCTTCCAATGGCAGAGGTTTCTCTTGCCCCACACATCATGGTGGGATGCCCAGCCAGGCATCCTTTTTAAACCAGATGGTAAGGAACCACTTAAGTTCTGTTGTAGGTTTTTCTAGTTCATGATTTCTTGGGGATGTAGAGGCTATTCAGTTGGCACTGCTTATTAAGTAATTATGTGAGAGATATTTGTGGTGGTAAAATTTCGTGGGAGGGGACAGTTGGGGAAATGGCTAAAAAGGCCCCTTGTATCAGGTGGAGACTCTAGGGGAGATTCATAAAGAGATTGAGAAACACCAGTTAAATCTTATATCTCCTGGAGAGGGAGAGGGAAGTTGTTCCTGCTCAAGCTAGTCCTGCTGCAGGTGAGCGGTGTGCTAGCTGTCTTCCCTTTCAGCACTGTACGCTCAGTCAGTAGTCCCCTGTTACATGAGTAGTAGTACGTTCCACTTCAGGAAGACTGTGGTTCCCAACCTAATATCTGTGCATTTTCTTGTTTTATCTCTTGTTGCTTTACTCAATGCTTTCCAGAGGCCAACAGTACCAGGAACATTTGGGTCTCTTCGAGGATCAGATCCTGCTAACTTATACGGTTCCTCTGGAGCCCCAGAGCCACACCCTGGAGAGCCTGTTGTACAACAGCATCAAACTTTTCCCGTGCAGGTAAGCATCATACGCAGAAGATGCACAGGAAAAGGGTAAGTGGGCTCGGCTCCTATAGCTCAACCGGCTAAGGCGCCAGCCATGTAGACCTAATGTGGCGGGTTCGAATCCCCAGCCCGGACCCGCCAAACAACAATGATGGCTGCAACCAAAAAATAGCCGGGCGTTGTGGCGGGCGCCTGTGGTCCCAGCTACTTGGGAGGCGGAGGCAGGAGACTCGCTTGAGCCCAGGAATTGGAGGTTGCTGTGAGCTGTGATGCCATGGCACTCTACCCAGGGGGATAGCTTGAGGCTCTGTCTCAAAAAAAAAAAAAAAAGAAAAAGAAAAGGGTAAGTGTCAGAAATACCATCTATTCCCAGGTTAAATTCAGCTCATTGTCTCCAGTTATGAAGAGTTCGTCTCCATAGATTAAGCATGTAACAGGGTCTGTCTTACTCCGAGACTTTGGTTAACTGCTGTCTTCCCTTTTTTTTTGTTACTAGCCTCCAGTTGGAATTAATAGCCACCGAGGACCTGGGCTGAGCACACCTGAGGAGAAGCAAATGTGTGGGGGACTGGCACACCTTTCTAACATGGCGCCACATCCTGGATCATTGCAGTTGGGGCAGATGAGTGGCCCCAGTCAGGATGGAAACATGTATCCTTCAGCTCAATTCCAGCCAGGATTTATTGCTCCCAGGCACGGTGGGGCTCCAGCCCGACCCCTAGACTTTGCTGAAAGCCCAGAAATTCCTCCCAGCCACATGTACCGATCATACAAGTACCTAAATCGAGTACACTCTACTCTATGGAATGGAAACCATGGTGCTACTAACCCAGGACCCTTGGGGCCAGAAGAGAAGCCGCTTCTGGGGCCAGGAGCCTCTCACCAGCCTCGCACTCTTGGTCACATGATGGACTCCCGAGTGATGAGACCACCTATCCCCCCAAACCAGTGGACTGAACAATCAAGCTTTCTACCTCATGGAGTTCCTTCTTCAGGGTATATACGACCACCCTGTAAGTCTGCTGGGCATCGGTTACAGCCACCGTCAGCGCCAGCATCAAGTTCTCTGTTTGGAGCACCCGCCCAGGCTCTACGGGGGGTGCAGGGAGGGGAATCCATGATGGACAGCCCAGAGATGATCGCCATGCAGCAGCTGTCCTCCCGAGTCTGCCCCCCAGGTGTGCCTTACCAGCCCCGCCAGCCTGTTCCCCCGCATATGCCCAGCCCTTTCCCACCAGTAACTCACTCAGCCTCAGTCAGTGTGCCAATCCCCAAGCCTGCCCTAGGCAACCCTGGGAGGTCACAGGATAACAGTGAGACATCAGAGCCTGAGAAAGACCGAGGTAATTCACATCATCACTTTCATCTGACTTACGGCTCTTTGAGCTGTTATTTTACAAGTATTTTCTCACACTGAATATCAAACCAAGTGTAAACTGGTTTCCAGCCTCTTTTTCCTAAACTACTCAGGGCTGGGCCAGACATAGCACTTGTATTGGTCTGAAGATCCCAGAGCATTTCTGGTGATGATAATGATGGCTGCACAGATAGACGCTGTCTGTGGTCTTTTTGAGACTATGTGTCTGTTAATTCATTAAGTTCTCAGAACGAGCCTTTGAGGTAACTATTGTCATTGCCCTTGCTTTTACAGATGGAAAGTCAAGGCACAGAGATACTCATTGCTCCCATCCACCTAGCGAGTAACGGAGCTGAGGTTTGAACCCCATGCTTAAAGCACTGCATCATCATAATGCATTTAAAAAAAATCACTGTCGGGCGGTACCTGTAGCTCAAAGGAGTAGGGCGCCGGCCCCATATGCCGGAAGTGGCAGGGTTCAAACCCAGCCCCGGCCAAAAACTGCAAAGAAAAGAAAAGAAAATCACTGTCACGAGCAGCACCCGTAGCTCAATGAGTAGGATACCGGCCACATACACTGAGGCTGGCAGGTTTGAACCCAGCCCAGCCCAGTTAAAACAACAATAACTGCAACAAAAAAAATAGCTGGGCATTATGGTGGGCACCTGTAGTCCCAGCTACTTGGGAGGCTGAGGAAAGAGAATCCCTTGAGCCCAAGAGTTTGAGGTTGCTGTGAGCTGTGATGCCACAGCACACTACCCAGGTTTAACACTCTGTCTCTTTAAAAAAAAAAAAAAAAAAAAAAAACTCTTGTCTTGAAAGTTACCACTATGATACAAATTTTCAAAGTTGGATTATTTCTTTCTTTTTTTTTTTTTTCCAACACCGGCTATACCAAAATTTTCTAATACTGGTTTCAAATGGTATTAGAGTTCAAAGCTTTGGGAATCCCATTAGATATATCTTGGATAAGTCTATTAATTGCTGAGTTTTGTTTACTAAATACTGAAGGGTGTGGTTTTAATTTTTTTTTTTTTTTTTTTTTTGAGACAGAGTCTCACTTTGTGGCCTGCAGTATAGTGCCATGGCATCATAGCTCACCGCAACCTCAAGGGTGATTATAGGCTTAAGTGATTCTCTTGCCTCAGCCTCCCAAGTAGCTAGGACTACAGGTGCCCACCACAATGCCTGGCTATTTCTTAGAGTCAGGATCTTGTGCTGGCTTAGGCTGGTCTCAAACCTGTGAGCTCAGGCAGTCCACCCACCTCACCCTCTCCAGTGCTGGGATTATAGGCGCGAGTCACTGTGCCTGGTTTAATATTTTCATTACGTAGTTTATACTTTTAACCTTTAAGGCCAGCTTCAGCTCACAGATAACCTGAGCTGTCTTAGTAGTTACTTTAAAAGTTACTGTCGGGCAACACCTGTAGCTCAGTGAATAGGGCGCCAGCCCCATATACTGAGGGTGCAGGTTCGAACCTGGCCCTGGCCAAACTGCAACAAAAAATAGCCAGGTGTTGTGGCGGGTGCCTGAGGCAAGAGAATTACCTAAACCCAAGATCTTGGATATTGCTGTGAGCTGTGATGCCAGAGTACTCTACTGAGGGTGACAAAGTAAGACTCTTTATCTCTTTAAAAAAAAAAGTTGTTATGGCTCAGCGCCCATAGCACAGTGGTTACAGCACCAGCCACATGCACCAAGGCTGGCAGGTTCAAGCCTGGGCCAGGCCGAGCAGGCTAAACAATGACAACTGCAAAAAAAAAATATATAGCTGGGTGTTGTGGCGGGTTCCTGTAGTCCTAGCTACTTCGGAGGCTGAGGCAAAGAGAATCGCTTAAGCCCAAGCGTTTGAAGTTGCTGTGAGCTGTAACCCATGGCACTCTACCCAGGGTGACATAATGAGATTCTGTCTCCAAAAAAAAAAAAAGTTATTATAAATCTTAAATGTTTTATTTCAGGTCTTTTACTAGATTTTTAAATTGATCATACTTGGACAACTCTGTTCTAGAAAAGTTATAAATAGATTATTTTATGTATGTGCTTATATATCACATGTATATAATTTCTTATTTAGGCCATATTCATGGGTTGATGAAATAGTAAGGAAAAGGATTCTGAGATTATAAGCAAGCATTGGAGTCTGATAAATTAATTTGATTGGGCTCAGTAAATTTCTGTAATATGCTAAACATGCCTTTTGAGTTGTAGTTTGTAGATATCTTGCTTTTAAGACATCCAGGCCTGATGAATGTATTCATTTATTAAACAAATCTTGACTGAGGTCCCACTTTGTGCATGTGCTGAGAGTACAGGGGAAGTCCCTGCTCCTATAGAGCTTATGTTCTATAGGGCAGAGTTAGGGACCTGGCTGTCACAGGTGCCTATCATCTCCTGGTCATGCTTGTTTGGTCAGTTCTTAAGAGCGTCCCAGACTGACCGGCAGTTTTGATGACAGCCAATACCATGTTTCACTTGTATGTGCTTAGAGTGAGGAACCATCTCTCACCCTCTCACTGATTTGACTGTGACAATACAGGAAGGATGCACCTTACAAGGGGTCATAGAGGTGCTGGGTTTCACCGTTAGGCCCATAAAAGGGGTGAAAGGAAGTGTACAAAGACCCCAACATCGTGATCCATTTCAGGGAGTCTGCATAATTCCACCTTCGGTTTGAATCACCACAGATCCATCTCACCCTGGACTCAGGATCTCTTCATTACCAGTTCCATTAATGTTGTCATTTCAACTACTAAATTATTACTCTGTTTTGGTTTTGCAGCAGAGCCCTTATCTGGATTTGAAGAGAAACCAGCAAGCATTGGTGCTTCAGAGGGGGGTGTATACCTCAAACAACTACCTCACCCCGCAGCTCCCCTGCAGCCTGACTGCACCAGGCAGAGCTCCCCACAAGAAAGAGAAACACTGGTTCCAGAGCTCAAAAATGAATCCTCTGAATCTGCAGACAGCTGTAAAACAACAAAGGGCAAGACCACTTGGCCCTCAGATAGCAGCTACACCAACCCAGCCACACAGGGGTGTATGAGAGACCTTTCCACTGTGGCAGACAGAGGAACTCTGCCTGAAAACGGAGTCATTGGTGAAGTGTCTCCCTGTGGAACCGAGGGGAAGGGCCTTGGAGGCAGTGGTTCAGAAAAGCCACTCTGCCCCAGAGGCAAAATGCAAGAAACCATGTTATGTACAGGGCAGAACACAACTACATCTCCCAATACAGACCCCGGGCTGATGGGAGGCACTATGAGCCAGTTCTCATCCTTGTACATGCCTGGCCTGGAGTACCCCAGTTCAGCTGCACATTACCATATCAATCCAGGCCTCCAAGGCTTGGGTCATGTGGTGGGAGGGAAGTCCTCAGTGTCCCATCCTCAGCATTTTCCGCCTAGGGGCTTTCAGTCTAACAGTCCTCATTCTGGAGTCTTTCCCCGGTATCGCCCCCACCAAGGCATGAGGTATCCCTACCCTCCCCCACCTCAGCCTTCCTACCATCACTATCAGCGAACTCCTTATTATGCCTGTCCACAGGGCTTTTCTGACTGGCAGAGACCTCTACATCCCCAGGGAAGCCCAAGTGGGCCCCCAGCTAGTCAGGCTCCCCCACCACGTTCCCTCTTCTCAGATAAGAGTGCCATAGCTAATCTGCAAGGCTGTGAGACACTGAATGCTGCCTTAACTTCCCCAACCCAAATGGATGCAGTGGCTGCTAAAGTTGTCCCAACTGATGGGCAAAATCCTGGTCCAGAGGAAGAGAAGCTGGAAGAGTGTATGGAGAGGCCAGAGAGTCCCAAAGAATTTTTAGACCTGGACAACCATAATGCAGCTACCAAGAGACAGAGTTCATTATCAGCCAGTGAATATCTTTATGGAACTCCTCCTCCACCTCTGAGTTCAGGAATGAGTTTTGGTTCACCTGCTTTTCCACCCCATGGCGTCATGTTGCAACCAGGGCCCCCTTATACACCCCAGCGGCCAGCCAGTCACCTTCAGCCCAGGGCTTACTCTGCCACTGGGGCAGCTCACCCCACTCACTGTCCTGCAGCTGCCCAGCCCAATGGCCTCTCCCCAGAGAGCCCTGTCTATCGCTGTCAGGAAGAGGGCCTGGGTCACTTTCAAGCCGTAATGATGGAACAGATTGGAAGTGGAATAAGGGGACCTTTCCAGGAAATGTACAGACCATCAGGGTAAGACTGCGTTAAGGTTTTGGGAGTTCGTTTCTTTCTGGGGGATAAAAGAACAGATGTTCAGTATGTATCATGGATATTGAAAAATAATTAAAAAGAACAGATGTTAATTTTCAAAAGAAAAATATCTTTAGGACCAAGAAAATCATGTGAATCATTGAAGACTTAATAGAAACGTAGAAATAATGGGAGGCTGAGGTAGGACAGTTTGAGGCCAGAAATTTGAGACTAGCCTGAGCAAGAGCAAGATCCCATTTCCACTAAAAATAGGAAAACTAGCCAGGTGTGGTGACGGGTACCTATAGTTCCAGGTACTTGGGAGGCTGAGGCAGGAAGATCACTCAAGCCACTGAGTCTGAGGTTGCTGTAAGCTAGGCTGACTATGGCACGATACCCAGGGCAACAGAGTGTTTACAAAAGTAAACAAATGAAGGAGTGAATGCATGGGTGTGTGTCAGGATATGCACAGGTGGTGCTGCCTGCTGCCTCATGCCAGGAGGAATTGTTCCAATATCATGGATTCCAAGTTTGATCACTTGGATCATTTTTTTTTTTTTTT